GAGCTCATACGCAGAAGTTATGGCAGTTCTTGTTCTCTTGAGTGTGGTTTTGTCAGGGTCCGCGTTGGAAAGGTTTGGGTGGATTCATCACGTACACATCTCCTTCTTTTCCCCTCCTTCTTCCTTGGAGCTTCCTTTGTTTCCTTGCCTCCCTTGTGTGGCTGCCGTTGTTGGTTGCGGTAGTACTGCTCCCAGGAAAGTGGTAGTACCGTAGGCATCAGCGATAGTACCGTGCAGTGGCACGGTAGTACCGCAGGTGCCCACGGTAGTACCGCTCCCCTGGAGCCGCACTACCGCTGCCCACCAGGCTAGTGTCGCCCCTTTGCGGTAGTAGGAGCGGATGTAATTTTTTACATCCGCACCTACCGCGGTAGTACCGCTTTTGCCGTGCGGTAGTACCGCGCTATGCGGTCAGGCAGTAGTACTGCCCCTCGGTAGTACTACTGTGTCGGGTTTTCGCTACTTCTGTTTCTTTGCGGAAGTAGGCACGGAAGTTTCCCTTTTCCCCTGGCTGGGACTTTTTCCTCGCGGTAGTACCACATGGGGGGCGCGGTAGTACGGCGCGTGCGGAAGTTCCACCCCCAGCTCCTGTCCGTCTGTTTATCGGTTCTGTGCTGGGGTTGCGGCAGTACCGTGGGTCGGTATGGTAGTACCGCACAGCCGTGCGGTAGTACCGCTTGGATGAAAGTAGTAGTACCGCGCGACCTTGCGGTAGTACCGCTGGCCAGGCATGGTAGTACCGCTGGCCGCGGGCTGGTTGGTGGGTAACGATTGGATTTTTCCCCACCTGTAAAAGGGGGTCTTCTTCCCCAATGAACCTTATCTTTCGAGCTCATTTTTGCCCCCATTGTTGACCTTCTTTGAGCTTGCTAACTCTCAATCCCTCCATGGATTCTTGCTAGTTTTTGAGGGAAAAGAGAGAGGAGATCTAGATCCACATTTCCACCAATCACTTTCTCCTCGATGTGAGGGGAACCCCTTGGATCTAGATCTTGGAGTTCTTGGTGTTCTCCTTCTTGTTCTTCCTCTCATTTTCCTCCCTAGCATTAGTTGCTCCGGTGGGATTTGAGATAGAAGGACTTGGGCACTCCGTGTGCCCTTGCCATTGCATTTGGTCCATCGGTTTGAGTTCTCCACGGTGATACGTGGAAGTGAAATTTGAGAATCTTATTACTCTTGGGTGTTTGGGCACCCTAGAGCTTGTTCCTCTTGGGTGCCTTAGCGCCCTAGACGGTTGGTGTTGTTCGGAGCTCAATCATTATGGTGTAAAGCTCCGGGCAAGCGTCGGGGTCTCCAATTAGGTTGTGGAGATCGCCCCGAGCAATTTGACGGGTACCGGTGACCGCCCCAAGGGTTGCCAAAGTGTACGGGTTCGGTGACCGCCCCCAAGGGTTGCCATTTGTACGGGTTCGGTGATCGCCCTCAAGGGTCCCTTAGTGGAATCACAGCATCTTGCATTGTGCGAGGGCGTGAGGAGATTACGGTGGCCCTAGTGGCTTCTTGGGGAGCATTGTGCCTCCACACCGCTCCAAACGGAGATTAGCATCCGCAAGGGTGTGAACTTCGGGATACATCATCGTCTCCGCGTGCCTCGGTTATCTCTTACCCGAGCTCTTTACTTATGCACTTTAATTTGTGATAGCCATATTGTTTCTTATCATATATCTTGCTATCACCTAGTAGTCTATCTTGCTTAGCATAAGTTGTTGGTGCACATAGGTGAGCCTAGTTGTTGTAGGTTTTGTGCTTGACAAATTAACCGCTAGGTTTATTCCGCATTTGTTCAAGCCTAAACCGTAATTATTTTAAAACGCCTATTCACCCCCCCTCTACACGACATCCACGATCTTTCAATTGCTAAGCGGAAGCATTACAAGAACGTGGTTGGTGGAGTCGTACACGCAGCGATTCAGATCGCGGTCGATTCCGATCTAAGCACCGAACAACGGTGCCTCCGCGTTCAGCACACGTACAGCCCGGGGACGTCTCCTCCTTCTTGATCCAGCAAGGGAAGAGGAGAAGTTGAGGGAGAACTCCAACAGCACGACGGCGTGGTGGTGATGGAGCTCGTGGTTCTCCGGCAGGGCTTCACCAAGCGCTACGGAGGAGGATGAGGTGTAGGAGAGGGGGAGGGGCTGCGGCAGGGGAAGGGTGTGTAGCTGCCCTCTCTCTCCCTCACTATATATAGGGGGAAGGGGGTGGAGGAGGCGCCCTAGGGTTCCCTAGGGGAGGGCAACGGCCACAGGGGAAACCCTAGATGGGTTTGGGCGCCCCCACCCCTAGGGAACTTGCCCCCCAAGCCGGGAGGGGTGGCTGCCCTAGGGGAGGCGCCCCCACCTCTCCAAGTTACGTGAGATCGGGTGGGAGGGGCGCTTAGCCCCTTAGTGGGCTGATGTTCCCCCTCCCCTTGGCCCATAAGGCCCCCCAACGCTTGTCGGGGCCTCCGAAACCCCTTTTGGACACGCTGGTCGTCACTCGGTACCTCCGGAACAATTCCGGACTCCAATACCCTTCGTCCAATATATCGATCTTCACCTCCGGACCATTCCGGAACTCCTCGTCATGTCCGGGATCTCATCCGGGACTCCGAAAAACTTTCGGTAACCACATACTATTTCCCATAACAACTCTAGCGTCACCGAACCTTAAGTGTGTAGACCCTACGGGTTCGGGAACCATGCAGACATGACCGAGAAATCTCTCCGGCCAATAACCAATAGCAGGATCTGGATACCCATATTGGCTCCCACATGTTCCACGATGATCTCATCGGATGAACCACGATGTCGGGGATTCAATCAATCCCGTATACAATTCCCTTTGTCTATCGGTATGTTACTTGCCCGAGATTCGATCGTCGGTATCCCCATACCTCGTTCAATCTTGTTACTGGCAAGTCACTTTACTCGTTCTGTAATGCATGATCCCGTGGCTAACTCCTTAGTCACATTGAGCTCTTTATGATGATGCATTACCGAGTGGGCCCAGAGATACCTCTCCGTCATACGGAGTGACAAATCCCAGTCTCGATTCGTGCCAACCCAACAGACACTTTCAGAGATACCTGTTGTGCACCTTTATAGCCACCCAGTTACGTTGTGACGTTTGATACACCCAAAGCATTCCTACGGTATCCGGAAGTTGCACAATCTCATGGTCTAAGGAAATGATACTTGACATTAGAAAAGCTTTAGCAAACGACCTACACGATCTTGTGCTACGCTTAAGATTGGGTCTTGTCCATCACATCATTCTCCTAATGATGTGATCCCGTTATCAATGACATCCAATGTCCATGGTCAGGAAACCATGACCATCTATTGATCAACGAGCTAGTCAACTAGAGGCTTACTAGGGACATATTACGATCTATGTATTCACACATGTATTATGATTTCCAGTTAATACAATTATAGCATGAACAATAGACAATTATCATGAACAAGGAAATATAATAATTACCATTTTATTATTGCCTCTAGGGCATGTTTCCAACACTGCGGTGTTTCAAATTATTAAACCCATTAAGAGGCGCTAGAATGATGGCCAACCAGCTACGCCATGTGGCGCATGCTGGTTGGTCACGATGAGAAAGTTTTGAGTTTTTTTTAATGTAGGGAGACGTGTTTTCAAGAAAAGTTTTTCCAGGTTTTTTCTTTTTCCTTTTAAGATGGTAGTGATGTCCACATCACGCAAGAGTATTTTAAAAAAAATTGACATGATGGTGAGGTGCGCATAGCTTCCTCTCAAACGGACCGCAATGGCGGGCCCCAACCACTAGTGAAACATAACAAAGCTCCAGATCCTAAATGTTTCCCAAGCAGATTTCTATCAGAATTTCTAGGATGTCATTAAGATGGATCTTATCGAGTTGCTTCAATATTCTTCGTGCGGGTTGGCTTGACCTATCCAGGCTAAATTTTGGTGTGATAATTTTGTTGCCCAAAATCAAGAAGGCTGGACGAATCCAGCAATGAAGACCCATATGCCTTCTTAATTTCAGCTTCAAAATTTTCACAAAGTGGCTAACAATAGGATCAATGTGGTTGCTGACCGTGTGATTCGACCATCTCAAACGGTTTTCTTGCAAGTAAGGAACATACTCGATGAGATTGTTAATGAGATGCACCGAAAGAACATAAGTGGGATTGTCTTTAAAACTAATTCGAACAAGCCTGCGACAAAGTAAAGTGCTCATTTCTTCAACACACCCTCTGAATGTAAGGTTTCTCCGAGGAATGATGCGAATGGGTCCAAAATTTTATTTAGGAAGGTAGCATGGCTATTAAAGCTAATGACGACCTAGGTCATTACTTCCAAACTAAAAAGGGACTACGTCATGCCGACCTGCTATATATACAAGGAAAGTACTTGTACATATTCACAGTTGTGGGACAATTTGGCTCTGTCGAAGCAATGGGTTCTAGTGTTTTCCATCGCACGGATCCGAGAGTTTTAGTCGTTACAATTGCGAACATGGTGAAAAATCCTCTAGGTGAAGTTACTGGTGCCTGGTGGATGGGTCATCATCCGCAAAATCCACAACGAAACTAGATGATTCCCTGCGTGTTGCAACCGAAACACTAAGAGACGTGTAGTTATGCAATGTTATTACTGCATCCTAGCATTTTTTTGTCAAGTTAGCAACTTAATGGTTTGAAGAGTTTTTTTATTAAAGTAAATTAATTTTCTAATGGAAAAACAGATCAGGTCAGGTTGTCAGTTTAATATGTGACATTACTTATTTTTCATTGCCACAAACATATCTTCAGAAGTCTTGTAGTATTGAAGAATTTTTCAAGAAAAACGTTTTAGTATTTACGAATGAGTGTGGCTAGATCTCAGTTAACCAAGACTTAAGCAAGTCTCAGTCATGTGCTATACTGGTGCGTTGGTTTTATGGGGCCTTAATACGACGACTTCCCGACTATCTATTACAACAAGACTTGCTCGGCTCCGGCGAGGGAGGGGCGATGACAGCAGCGCGCCTTCGGCTCACTTCAGTGCTTGTAGTCGTCGTTAGGTGGTTTACGGATCTGAATGTACTTTTTATTATTTCTAGCATTCGTTGTACTATCATGATTGAAGATGAATAGATTGGAAGTTTTTCCTGCAAAAAAAGGAAGAAATAAAAAATTAAAAGAAAAATTTGCACGGATCTTCATATATGAATATAGTAGATTTAGCAATCCCATTTACGAATAAATGACACACCAGCCAATACTTTTATGCACGTATTGGATTTCCACTTTTTAATTCATTCTAATGGTTGATGTCCATCGCCAATTCCAGTTAATGCTACACGCACGGGCGTTTTTTTACATAGAATTACGGGGATGCTTAGATGGAATAAACTGATTGGAAGAAAAAGGCATGAGGGGCCCACACCCCCTGAAAATCAAATCAGGGGGCGATGGAGATTAGTTAGCGATAGTATCCCGTAAAACGCCCGTATTACTCCGTTGATATAGAATTTTCGCATGTTAATGGCGTGAGTTTGTCTAAGAGGCATGACGTGGATAATTACATAACTAATTATGATGTGACAAACATGCATGACTTTTTTTTTGCGGGGCCAAACATGCATGGCTTTTTTTTTTGCGGGGCCAAACATGCATGGCCTGATGAAATGGGAGCGTGCACGTTGTAAGAATTAAAGTTAACGGATGTGGTGCATGGATGTAATAATGCTAGTGGATGCTTAATAGGCACATTTGGTAAGGTGGAAAGCTGCGTGTTGAGAAAATTGCTTGTAGTCGGGATGAACCTTTTATGAACAGAGGATTTCGTTGCCTCGCCGGAAGAGCAGGCTTCTGTTCCACCTTGGGATTAATGGATTTGTTAAACTCCTTGATTAGTGTCGTTTGTCCTCTTCAAGAAAAGCGTTTTGTGTGAGCCTGAGAGGCACTCGACTACAACAGCGAAAAGGCTTGCCCTGCTCAGCCTCCATTAACGGCCGGGTGTTGGTGGATCGATGCCGTCACCGGCTAACCTCCTGCTCCCAAAAGGCAACGGAACGAGACGGCAAGCGCATGCTTCCCTTTCCAATCAACTGCTCTGGTCGTCGGTGCGGTTGGCTAGGCCTTAGGCGCGCGTGACTATGCTTCCAACTCTTTGCGACCATCAGCTTGTCGAGACAGAGACGTATGCGTGGTTCTTCTACCTTCTGCGTCTCCAGTGTAGTAGTCTACTCTCGAACTTTGAGACCTCCGATCCGATGCATACTTGGTTCTACCTGTCACAGGCAGCAGCTCCGAATTCTTACAGCGAAATCCATTGATGTAGGCTGTTGCTGCCGTGACAGCAGCACCGACGAGCAGGAGCAGCCCGGTACGTGCCGAGCTGAAGAAACCGTCGACGCACGCTGCCTCCCCAGTCCTGTGCTAAAAGGAGACCTTGCTCCAGTGTGCAGTCCACTCATCAGCGACAGACAGAACCTGCATCAGCATTGCCGTACTAATAACTACGCCTTCACAGTCACACCTTTAATCTCCAACGACAAGGACCCACGGCTGATACAGTCAGTCAGTGTACACACTTCCTCCTTGGAAACGAAACGACGACGTCCAGGCAGCGCGCGTGGATTCAGAGGTGGAGTAGGAATGAAGCGCGGCCACGGACTCTCCATAAGAGGAAAAGAAGCCAACAAGTGTCGGCGTCAGCGATGAACAGTCACAGTTTGTTCGGCAAGTACGTGCAGCACAGTCGATCTGGTTAGTTGGATGCTGGCGCACAGTGAAACATTAGAATTACTTGAGCTAGCCTGGTTGGTGATGTGCGCTCGCCATCGTACACACTGCAAGCAAAGTTCACAGAGCCCTTGTTGATTTCGCAAAGTTCACAGAGCCCTTGCAGAAGTGTAGCCGTGCAGTGGCAAGAGTGATCTGCAGTTCTAGCCGATAGGGGAAGAAGTTGCAGAGGAAGAGTGGAAGATGATGGGAGCACGAGTACAGCTTGCCGACCTCTGCGAGAAGCTCCCCGCTGCCAACCTTGTGCATGACACCAATGCCACTGTCACATGTCCATTTCTGATTATTACTACACCTTTACACCACAACTAATCAACTCCCGTCCTTGGTTGAATCTGAAGTGACAAGGACCGCGGCTGATGAGGCCTAAGCAGGAGCTTTCTTCCTTCCAAACAACGACGCCCCACGCACAAAACGCACGAATGAATTCAGAAAGTAGACAGCGCAGCGCAGGGACAGGCTCTCCATAAAGAAGGCAGGGTCATTCAGCAAGTGCAGTCAGGTTAGTTGGAAGTTGGGACACCATCACACATGTTCACTCAAGCGTTCGAGTGAACAGAGCCAAGCACAGGTTTTCAGCTAATTAACGAGCTTAATGAGCGAGCTAACGAGTTTCACGAACAACTCGTCAATAAAACACAACACTTATTTTTGTGTTAAGTGGCAACATTTCTCGGCATCTCAACCCATCTATTCCATCTAAGCCCTTGTTCGGTTGCATGTGGATCCGAGTGGAGGGCGTTTGAGGGGGATTTAAACCTCTTATATAAGTCAAAATACGAACCAATCCTTGCCAATCCCCTCCAATCCTCTTGGGGAGAGGATTAACCGAACAAGCCCTAATTGATCTAACCTAGCCCAAAGAAGACAATAACTAGCATACCCCTCATATGGTCACTTTCTTTCTTTATAAAAGACACATCAGAACTAAAGTAACAGGGGTTAATGTCTTTTAACACTGGAACTCACTATGTACAGCAAGTTCCCTTCCTTCTATAACAAATGCTTGGGCTGTGCTCCGTGGCCTTCTTCCTTCACATCGTCCACTGAACAGATGCTTTCCCATGGTTTGGTTCAGGGTGATCACCAGTCGACGGCATAGAAATGTGCATGCCTTAATGGAAGCTGCGCTCTTAGAAGTGTACAACATCACAGATCAACAAGAACGCCAGGGAGGTTAAAAAAGAATGTGAACAGAGGGGAGACTCCGCCCTGTCTTACAAAATTCATCAGCCAAACAAACGCAAAAAAGAAGGAAAGAATCGAACCATGCAAGTCATACTTGATAGTCAACAAGGCGTTTCACAGGGGAAAAGACATGAATGTACCTTTCATGTATTTTTAAGATGATATATGTGAGTATGTTAGCAATATGCAAAAAAAAAAGTTCAGTAATGGCAAGATTGGAGCCAAGCGCTCACTTTGGATACAGAACTGTTTGTACATGTTATCAGTCACAGCATCATCATTACATTACATCCAGGTTTCACTTTCTTAACACTTCAGAAAATAAATTCTGAATACAGGTTACAAGCAAAGAAACCAGGGGGGAAACAGCACTGCCAGTTGAGTGGATGACTCCAAACGCCAGAACGTTAGTCTGGCAAGGCGGTCCCTCTTTCCAGGTTGTTCTTGATCTCAAGCGTATATTTGCCAAAGGCCCTCTCGATTTTCTTGTTGAAGTGCTCATTCCGGTCGTTGATCGAGTCAACGTCCTTGTCTTCGTTGAACTTGCGCCTCCTGCTGAACGCCTTCCGCTTCTCATCCCGCTCCTTGAGCTCATTAACCATTCGGTCGATGTTGGGTTCCGCCACCCTAGACACCTGTGCAGTGCAGAAGGCAAGGCATCAATAAGATGCCACATACTTTGTGCTCCTTGCTAAAAAGGACCATAAATAGAATACAGATAAGTTGGTGCTATGGGCCGACGGCAGTACCTTCCCATATTGAAGACTTGAAGCCTCACGGTAGAATTCAGGATCGGTTTCTTTCGCTCTATTGTATGCATCCATGTCGACTTCTATGTTTTTTGTCCTCTTCTTGTATGCATCATACAAGGTTTTCTGGTTGAAAACTGCAAGCAGCAACACCTTATTCAGATACATACACGAGACTTTAAACAAAAAGAAGTTACATGCCTTGTATTTAATTGCCTATGCTTCATAGAAGATACTATCAAATAAAAATGTTACTCCCTCCGTTTCTTTTTAGTCTGCATATATAAGATTTGGTCAAAGTCAAACTTTGTAAAATTTGACCAACTTTGTAGAAAAAACTATTAACCTCTACAGTACTAAAGCTATATGGTATGAAAATTAATTTCATGATGCGTCTACCAATACTGATTTCATATTGTGAATCTTGATATTTTTCTCTATAAACTTAGTCAAAGTTAACAAAGTTTGACTTTGACCAAATCTTATATGCGGACTAAAAAGAAACGGAGGGAGTACATTTCTTGTATACAATTATTGAAAATGGTAAATTAAAAGTAACCGTCTAGACAGCTTCTGAATTAATTTAAATGTAGAAGATACTAATCTCAACTTTATCAAGAATCATACAACTCAGCACTTACAGTACCTGTTGTTCAATGTTACTAACAAGCACAGCTTAAAACTTCCAATGCAATATTAGAGTTATATGCAGAAGTTTATAGGAAGCATTTCTAATTTTGTTCCAAAAAACAAATTTAAATTTGTGACTTCACTGATTAAATGCAGGATAAACTAAAACAACCATTGGATAAAGTGTGCAATCAGGTAGTAATAGTAAAGTTCCTTAAGTTTTCCTTTCTCTAGCTTAGATGGAACAAAGGTTCAAAGGTCAGCGAAACACAGCTGGGAGATCATCCAAAAGTTTATCTAAGTAAGAAACATTATACTGCAACATAAGTGCAGAGAGAATAGAACTGTGCCGGGCATTGGATAAGTATGCAATCATGTAGTATCAGATATGTTTCTTGATTTTTCCCATTGCCAAGCTTAGAAAGAACAAAGCCTCAAAGATTAGTAACAAACAACTGGGTGATTATCAAATGAAACATACCAAGTCAAAATAGTGTTCAAATATGCACAACGAGTTGATCATAAGATAGGTCAATAGCAACACAGGATTTTAAAGAGTATAGATTTGGAGATATATTTACTGAAGCTGTGATCCATCACTCCACGCTGATAAAATAAAATAAATGAAGCTAGGAGATAAGCTCACCATCCCAGCCATGTGGTGCGGGTTCCTTCTCCCACTTCTTGTATTTTGCTTCTGCCATATCCTGTGTATCCAGCATGTAAGACTTTGACATATCCAGGCCATTCGAATCAAGCAGCTTCCCAATCTTCTTTTTTCTGTCTTCCAACCACTTCTCCTTAGATACGCCTCTGCTCTCGCCACGAGGCTCCATCCTCTTCTTCTCCGCAACCATCGCCTGCTGATTCGCCTTCCTAGCTTCGTTCTGGCAGCACATAAAACACGAAGGAGGTAAACATCCTAGACCGCAGATGCACCAGCTGAATTAGTTAACTGAAGGGCGCAGAATGTTCATCATACCATCTTAAGCTGCAGCTCAAACAGCTTCTTCTGCTTTTCGGTCATCTGCGGGTAACCGTCTTCTGCTGCAGCGGCGTCCTCCTGGCGCTCGGAATCATCATCACCATCAGCCTGCTCTGGAGTGACTCCTGATTTGCCAGAACCTCCAGCAGGCTTCTCTAGCTCCCCGCGCTCCGCCGCTAACAAGAAGTCAATCAAATAGACTGTAAGTACACAGACGGCTCTGGTTGAGTTTGAAAATACGAACTGAAAGGCAAGGCCATACCTGCATTGGCGTCGGCAATCTTCTTAAAGCAGTACTCGGAGCAGTCATGGTAGGGGTTGGAGGCGTTGATACAGTCAGGGTGCACGGTGCGGTCCTCCGGGGGGCCCTTCCACGAATCGGGTTGCTCTTCGAGGAGGCGGCGCTTGGCCTCGGCGATCTTGTTGAGGCAGTAGTCATTGCACTCGTGGGCCGGGTTCGACGAGTTGACGCACTCCGGCTCCGACTTCCCCATCGAGCTCTCGGCTCTCGCGTCTGCGGATTTCCGATAGAACCCTAGATTAGGCTGGCACGAATTTCACAAAACACGCTTAGCAGCTGCGAGTCTGTTAATGGCGCTACTGCCGTTAGGAGGTGTTTGTTTCGTTGAGTGATAATGTAAATCGTAAAGGGGAACTGATTACAGTCTGTAACAGCTCCGGACTGGACCAACCACGTTTTGTTTGGTTCTTGCAGTGTTAAGAAAACAGGTACCTTAAGAAGACATATTTTTTGACTTCAAGATCAAGAACATGGACCGTTAACCCTAACCTTGAGATATGCAGAGGAGGTTGATGGAGGAGGAAGAGATCAACTAGAAATCCGCAGATGGCCCTTCGCTCCTCGCCGGCGGCTTCAACAGATCTAGGGGAGTCGCGGGGGAGGAGGAGCGCTCGGGGTGGTCAGGAAACGTTACCGGTGGTGGGTGGGGGTATCGACTGATAACTAGCCTGGACCCGATTACGGAGGGATGTGATGTGATTACTGAAACAAACACCTCCTTCTTAATCTAATGTCACTACTGCTAAAGAGGTTGATTTGGAGCCCGTACCTTGGGTGCGATTCGAGGCGGCGGATCTGCTGCGGGTCGACGGGGGCTGCGCCTGGTGGATGCGGAGGCGGAGAGTCGGATTACGGGAGGGAGGGAGGGAGGAGTAGTGGCAGCAGCACCGGCGTCGGGCCGGAATCCGGCGGGTCTTGCCGACGGTCGAATCCGGCGGGCGGCGACGGGGATCGTGACGAACCCTAGAGGTTCGCCTGGAGAAGCGAGATACGGTGGTGGACGATTTGGGCCGTTGCCCGCGTGGCAACCTGGAGAAGAACACCGACAACGAGTGGGCTGCACCGTGCCACGGGCTGGGCCGGGAGAATCACGCTTCGTGCAGTTTCGGAGCAGGTTGATTTTATTTTTGTTCATTGCCCTAAAAACATATTATTTTTGTTCACTTACATACTCAAAATTCACTTTTAGAAAACTCATATACTCAAAAAACTTATATACTCAAAAAAATCCCTCAAAAAAACTTATATACTAAAAAAAAGGACAGCCAGCCATGGTCGGAAGTTTCAAAATCAATGTGGATGCATCGGTATTGCACTAGCAAAAGGGCCCGCGTGTTGCAGCGGGAGAATTTTTTTTTAAATCTAGGGGAATTTAAAATCTCATTGCTAGTTTATTTAATTTTATAAAATGAATTCCTATTTTTAAAATCTCGTTGTTAGTTTATTCATTTTTTCGTAGGAGTATTTAAATCACATTGTTTTAATTTTATAAAATGAAGTCATATTTTTTAATATCTAGCAGTATTTAAAATCTTGTTGTTAGTTTATTTAATTTTATAAAATGAAGTCTTATTTATTTACATGATCTTCCTTGGTCATTGTACCCGAAATATGAATATGTTTGTGGCAAAAATAAAACTAAAACTCAAATATCTAGTTTTTTTCATGTAGAGCATACATGTATAGAATTTTTGCGCCTAAATTTATTTTTCGGAAATATGTTTTGATTGTTTGCACCTAATTTTATTTTCCAGTAAGAAAAAAACCCTCAAAAGTGTAGTTAATTTTCCCATTCGCATGAGGCAATTTTGTGAGCGTCCGTGAGTTTTATACAGTTCTTGTCTATGTTCGGCTCGGCTCCCATCACCATCAGGATATGTTCATGTTCGTGCGCACACTCATAGCCGTTGGCAATTGCTGACGCAGATGGTGGCATGTGTTGGTGTGGTGGTCTTGGTGGCCACTCGCCGCCGGCCATGCTTCTTGATAGATTGGTCCTGGAGTCTTCTTATTCCTATCCTCTTGAAGCTAGTGTTCATTACTAGGAAACCTTAAATCCAACTTTTTAGTTCTAACGCATTTGAATTAAATCCTAATGGGTTTGAATTCAAATTCTTCCATCATCAACGGACCCCATGTACCTGGATTAAGCACATATAAATTAATCTAGGGAATTTTTCGTCACTTCAAAAATCTTTTCCAAACTACATGTGCTTCTCTTTTAGTTCTTTGTGTATGTCCAAATTTCTATTAGCTTGTTGCTTCTAGCAATTTCGAACATATATAAATTGCAAGGATTTGATGTAAAGTGGCGAGGTGGGACTATTAATTTGAATATGATTTTTTTAGCACAAATTATGTTTGTTGCAACCGGAAGGGAGGGGAGGGCAGATCGTGAGGTCCAACGTTTTTAGCGGCCCACGAGCGAACCGATCAAAATTATGCGAGTGCGGATTGATTACCCAAAATCACAGGGACTTTTCTAAAGAAACACCGTGACGGTGAACCTAGCAGAATCAATCAATTTGTGCTTTATTAGTAGGTAAAAAGATGGTTCTGGTACAGCCACAACAGTGTACATGGATCACTTGGGCGCCTATATGGGATCGTCATCATTTGTTATTAGAGGAATGATGGATCCCCCTAGTTTGGAAGCAATAGCATGTAGAGGGGCTCTGTCACTACCAGCACTAAGAGCATCTATAGTGGGAATTGCCTAATCCAGGTCCCTATATGTCCGCGGACGCATTGTAACACCTCAATAATCATGCTACAGTTATTCCGACCTAATGATGCCATGTCACCATGTTTGCTAAGCTAAATTGTCACTTGATTAAAACTCAAATCAAATTTAAATTAAATTGCAAGTCAATTTATTATTTCTTCAAACAGTAAAACATAAAAATGTTGGTTGGGTTGCAAATATTTACTAAATAATTTTCATGTAGAAACCAACATCATTTGAAATATTTAAATGCCCTTAACCTATTTTAAACAGGACCGACAACATTAATTGGGCTAATTTAATTTAAAAAACACTTAAACATTTCAAAATAAATTGAAAATTGCTGGGCTAACTCAAAACATTGCCTAATAATTATGGGACATGTTTCATTTAGTGTGAAATTAAAATGCAAAACAAAAAAGAAATAGAAAATGGAAAAAGAAAAAGAGCACAGGCCTACTGTGCCACTGGGCTCTATGCAGCCACAGTGCGGCTCAGCCCACAACTAGCCTTCTCCTTCCTCGCTATAGGAGGCAGGGAAGGCGTGGCGGCCATCCATCGGCCATAACCGCGCCATGATACGTGTCGGCCATCCCCCGGCTTCCATGGAGCATAAGGCCGACCCCGCACCCCTCGGCCGAAACCTTAGCCCCTTTCCCCCTTCCTCCTCGTGTCGCCCCTCTCCAAAACACGCACGCACCCCGCTGCCATCGTGGTCATCGTGGTACGGAGCCTCCTCATGCCAGGAGGACCACCACCCTCTTCTGCACCGACTACAAGCACCAAGTCGAGCTGGAGCCCTTCGAGACGTCGCAATCGTTGTCTCCATCGACTACATCCACCACTGCCATCGCTCAATCCACCGTCATCGTTGCATCCCCGGCCATGTTGAGCCCACCATCGAGCTCAGGGTGAGCCCCTCGCCATTTCCCCTCATATCTCTTGCGTTCACCCCCTAGCTAGCCCTTCGCCATGGCCGAGAGCTCCCGTCGCTGTGCTTGTTGCCCGTGTCATTGCAGTGGGCAAACGCCACGACTGAGCACGTGGTCGTGCTCCCGCGACCCTGTAGCTGCCGCTAGTGTGTTGGGAACGCAGTATTTCAAAAAAATTCCTACGATCATGCAAGATCTATCTAGGAGATGCATAGCAACGAGAGAGGGAGAGTGTGCCTACGCACCCTCGTAGACCGAAAGCGGAAGCATTTAGTAACGCGGTTGATGTAGTCGAACGTCTTCGCAATCCAACAAATCAAGTACCAAACGCACGGCACCTCCGCGGTCTGCACACATTCAGCTCAGTGACGTCCCTCGAGCTCTTGATACAGTTGAGGCCGAGGGAGAGTTTCGTCAGCACGACAGCGTGGTGACGGTGATGATGAAGTTACCGACGCAGGGCTTCGCCTAAGCACTACGACAATATGACCGAGGTGTAAAACTGTGGAGGGGGGCACCGCACACGGCTAAAGATCAACTTGTGTGTCTTTGGGGTGCCCCCTCCCCCGTATATAAAGGAGGGGAGGAGGAGGCCGACGGCCCTAAGGGATGCGCCCAAGGGGGGAATCCTACTCCAAGTAGGAATCGGCCCCCCTTTTCCTAGTCCAAGTAGGAGAAGAAGGAAGGAGAGGGAGAGGGAGAGGGAAAGAGGGGCCGCACCCTCCTCCCATATTCCTATTCGGACTCCCCTTGGGGGGGGCACCTCCTGGTTGCTGCCCTCTCTCTCCCCTAAGGCCCACTAAGGCCCATTACTTCCCCGAGGGGTTCCGGTAACCCCTCCGGCACTCTAGTTTCACCCGAAACCACCCGGAATACTTTCAGTGTTCGAATGTAACCTTCCAATATATCAATCTTTATGTCTCGACTATTTTGAGACTCCTCGTCACATCCGTGATCTCATCCAGGACTCCGAACAACCTTCGGTACATCAAATCACATAACTCATAATACAAATCGTCATCGAACATTAAGCGTGCGGACCCTACAGGTTCGAGAACTATGTAGACATGACCGAGACACATCTTCGGTCAATAACTAATAGCAGAACCTGGATGCTCATATTGGCTCCTACATATTCTACGAAGATCTTTATCGGTCAAACCTCATAACAACATACGTTGTTCCCTTTTTCATGGTATGTTACTTGCCCGAGATTCGATCGTCGGTATCATCATACCTAGTTCAATCTCGTTACCGGCAAGTCTCTTTACTCGTCCCATAATGCATCCTCCCGTAACTAACTCATTAATCACATTGCTTGCAAGGCTTATAGTGATGTGCATCACCGAGAGGGCCCAGAGATACCTCTCCGAAACACGGAGTGACAAATCCTAATCTCGATCTATGCCAAATCAACAAACACCATCAGAGACACCTGTAGAGCATCTTTATAATCACCCAGTTACGTTGTGACGTTTGATAGCACACTAAGTGTTCCTCCGGTATTCAGGAGTTGCATAATCTCATAGTCATAGG